ATTTCGTTACCTTACGGCCTACCTACTAATTTGAGATCATCTGCAAAGATGAACGCCGGAGATGCAAGATTGCCAGCCACGTCGTTAACGTAGATCAGGAACAGAAGCGGCCCCAGAACTAAACCCTGTGGCACCCCGCTGGAGACACCTGCTTGCCTAGATCTCTCCTCATNCAGCAGCCCATTGTAGGATCCCTTCGTTTATTTTGAGGGCTCTCATCTTAGCTAGGAGGTAACGGTAGATAACTGAGTCGAAGGCCTTTCGCAAGGCCATGTAACACACCTCAGTTGTCTCACCGCGATCAATTCTGCCTGTGACTTCATCAAGGAAGGACAAAAGATTTGTGAGACAGAACCGCCTTTTTGTGAATCCATGCTGGCACACAGCAAGTAAGCCATGCTCTGCTACATGTGAGTTCAGCCGACCCCTAAGTACATTCTCCAGGGCCTTGAGTGGTAGAGATAGAAGACTCACTGGGCGGTAGTTTGAGGCCTCTTCCTTGGTACCTCCCTTGTGAATCGGGATGACTTCGGCCTGTTTCCAGTCTGGAGGTAGCGTTTCTGTGGTGATCGACCGGTTGAAAAGCCGAGCTAACGGTTCAGCAACCATCCCTGCAATGGGTTTCAATATTGCTGAATGTATACCGTCTGGACCGGCTGCCTTTCCGGTGTTTAGTGTGCCCAGGAGTTTTTCTCCCTCTAGTCGGGTGATAGGCGGGTTTGCCATCTGTGGTACATCGGCCGGTACTAAGGTGGGAACCTCTCTACCCCTGTCTCTCTGGTAAACCCTCTCGAAGGCTACCCGGAGCGCCTCGGCCTTTTCATTGCTATTTACAGCAAGCCCACCATCCGCAGTCACTGGGTTTCCAACGGCTGTTCTCGTAGCGGTCCTTGACTGTACGTAGTTGTAGTAAGCTTTGAGGCACTGCTTGGCTCTGTCGGCCAGGCCCATTTCATATTTACGGCGGCAGTCACTCTGGACCCTCAAAGCAACTTCACGGGCCCTAAGTTATTGGAGAAACCTTGAGTGGCTCCATGAGTTTCTATAGCTGGTCCAGGCTCTATGTTTCCTGGATTGTGCTCTCTTGGCCCGGCTTTTTCATCATGGTTGGATCCCTTGTCTCCTGATCCTGCACAGCGGTGCAGAAAGCTCGGTGCGGTGTAGTACATTTGCCTTAAAGGCCCACCATTCCTCTTCTATCATCTCGTATTCCCCTTGTCACTCTCGATTTAATGCTGCCTGTACTAGGGTCTCACGGTAGATACGTCTAAATACTCGACGCATCTTGTGGGGCGTTTTGAGCACGCTGAGTACATACCGGAAGTGGATCACCCCGTGGTCACTCCTCCCCAGCGGTGGCTCAACCGTGAGATGCTCCATCTCATACGGACATACGGACATACGTCTTGGCACCTGCCCCGACCTCCATCCTGTGGGTTGGTCTACATGTTGTACCAGAGAACCCTCCTGTACCCAGTCAAGCAGTCGGTGCCCGAACGTGCTCCCGGGTGCCTAGGCTTGCGCCCATTTCACCTCTGGGGCGTTTAGGTTCCCCAGTAGCAGCACTAAAACGTTTGGGGCAGTCGAGTCGACTAGATATTGGCTGAACTGTTCGTCCTCATGCAGATCCGCTGAGGGGCTTCTATATACACGGAACAACTTCACCTTCTTTGAAGCCGTCTCGACGAAACAGGTGATTGCTTGGATGTTTGGCGTTGCTAGTTTACCACCTTCCGTTTGTATTAAGTGCTGGGCCACTAAGATTAGTTCTCCGCCCCCACATCTGCTATCCTCTCTGTCAGCTCTATAGCTACTGTAGCCTCTGGGAGCTAGTTGCTCTAGGGCTTCCGCAGGTCTCAGCCAGGTTTCCGTAATAGCAATGCAGTCATGGTCCTGCGTTTCCGAGCACAGCTCCGCCCATTTGTTACCCACACTGCAGACTTCGCTTTAGAGAACCTTGAGATTGCCTGATCCAGAGGTTAAAGTGCTAGGCTGACTACGGGGAGACTCGAAGTTTACCTTCGAGCTCCTACTCCATTTTTTGGATCTGAGGCTCTGTCCACTGGTGACCATGTGGATACTGGTATTTCTTCCCTGAGCTTCGTATCCAATCCGGAGACTATGCTGGCGTAGGTGACACTCCCCGTTGCCAGCTCTTGAGAGCGGTTAGGTAATCGGGATAGTTGGTTCCTAACTCCTACCCGTTCCGATTTACTGATACTGGAACTCCGTAATTTGTCATTCGACCTGGTAGCCCTGTTGTTCACCTTGGCCAGGTGGTCTGGTTCTACCAATATCTTGCCCTTGGTGTGCGTCAATAATTTACCCCCGCAGACGGAAGGCAGTCTCGGTGCCTCGGTTTTCCGAATTCGACTAATACCGGCCTTGGCGCGACTTCCCTTCCTTCTTGTCGTGCCTGCCACCTTCCAAGTCTCAAGGTGCACTTGATGGTCGCGTGCCCCGGTACCCCCGCTATCCCTAGTATGTTGACCAAGTGGTGTTTTAGCTCGCGTTCCTTTTGCCTCACCACAACGCAGAAGGGTTCAGTTATTCCCTTAATCATCACATTTCTAGTTCTGCCCTAGGCTATTTCAGTGTGATGTTATAATCTACCCAGGGCATTTCTCACGGATTGTACAGTATCATTTACAACATCCAACTCTGTTTCGTGTCTGTCCATTGTCCTTTGGATGGCGGTTAGGGTTACTCAAACTTAGGAGACCCCCGGGGGCTCCTGTTGCTCCGGGCGCTTTACCACGGTGTTATTCAATACTGTGGAAGAGCCACCGTAGTCTTTGGAGATGCTCAAAGAACTCCTCGGAGAGGCTCGCTT